TGACATATGCACAACTCACAATCGTTATTTTCTTTCCCTTTAATTCAATGACTTATTATCTCATTTCAGATTCTCTGTGTCTCTCTGTGCACGGACTGGAACCTCACTTGAATGCTCCTCCAAAAGGAACATGGGCATGAGACTTGTACTTTTCACCAATCTCATTCACCATTGCCTTTTCTTCCCTGCTACATCTCTTTCCTTTTTGTCTATTCCTTGAAGTTCATAAATACTTTGGAATGATAGGTCATAATTCACATATTACATTGGCTTTATATAAGAGTAAACGTTAAAATAATAAGATATGCGCATATATATAGAACCCTCTCATTCTACATCCATATTTGAATGTTCAGTTTCAAATATGCTTTTAGAAAGTGTTATTTTTTATATATATATTTTATGTCCAAATGGCACAGGATTCTATGATTTTCTGTGATTTAAAAGTAGAATAGAATTTCTACTTATTCCTTTTGAGAAAATTTCAAAGCTGTGACCCTAACTTGAGAAAATTTTCTCACTTAGTGACATGGGTTGAAAAGCCAGTTTTGCTGCAATCTTTACATATTTCAATATGTTGTCCTCGGCAGTGTGCACAATTTATTTGTATTGACTGATCATTTTGCTCTACTCCAATAGTTGAGTTTTTCGATTCTCTTTTTAATTTTACCCATTTTTATATTTAGGCTCTAAAATACTATCTGGACATTAATATCATCTCTTCAAAAGTTCATTCAACTAGGAAAAACTTATTATTTGATTTTTATTCTTTTTCGACTCAACAAATAATCTAATAAGCCTCTTTATTAATCAATTGCTATAGCTGAGTCTTTAAATAAAAGATTCATGGGTTTTTATCAGTCCAACCAATGGCAAAAATAATTGAGTATTCACATTAATTCAAGTTTTATTATATAAAATAATGACTTGTGCTACTTCTCACCTACGAATGTAAAAAAAGTTCAATACATATACCTACCTACTTTACTGTATCTTTACTATGTGTCCCTCTATATATACATCCATTCCAATTCCATACCCTTGTTCTCTCAAGAAATAAACCCACAATCTGAAGAGAAACAATGTCAAGAGCAGGCTCATCGAGATGGAGTCCAACCCCAGAACAACTGATGATTTTGGAGGAACTGTATAGGAGTGGGATTAGAACTCCTAGTGCTTCCCAAATCCAACACATAACAGCTCACCTTTGTTTCTATGGTAGGATTGAAGGAAAGAATGTGTTCTATTGGTTTCAGAATCACAAGGCTAGGGATAGACAGAAGCTCAGGAGGAAACTAAGCAAGCAGCTTCAACTACAACAACTTCAACATCAAGAACAACAACAACATCATCAGATGCTAGTCCATCAATGCCAAGTGTTTAATCAGGATAAGACTCATCACTGGTTTTTTGGTGGCTTTGATTCTTCTACTGGTTCTTCTGTGCAACCAGTTTCTCTTTGTAACCCAGCTATCTTACTTTCTCAGGTAATATACATTTCGGTATTAGTTATATTGTACTAAGTCTCTTCTGTACATTGCAATTTAAGGAGCACAGCACAAGAAACCTACAAAACCTCAGACACTTCAAAGTACAGCGAACCTCTCATGCATAATTGATATATAACAAACCACTTTAAATTACATTTTCTTGCTAAATCATGTTGCATGTATTTTCGCATCGTGGCGAAGGTATTTTTTTTTATTCATGTCTTATATCCGTTTTGTGCAATTTGAATATTTTTTTCATTCATAAAAGTGAATGCACGTATCATATTCTGGTTTAAGACAGATGTTGGAATGGAAGGCACAAGAAGCCCCTTGGGACTTTGACTTCTGGCTTAAATGTGGGCAAAGTAACATGACTAGATACTTAATCACCATACGAAAATGGTAATACAATAAAACATGTAGGGTACAAATATCATTTAAATTAATCTGTCATGTTGGACAGGACAGGTGCATATGTGGTACATTTTTTACTTTATTACAATATAAAGTACAATTCTGATTCTGAATTAGAAGGGCAAAGAAATGGTGGGGTTGAGGGTTGAAGTCTTTGTATTGCTGGAAAGTCGCATGGTTTCCAGGTTGAAGTATGGAGTTTCAAAGTTGTGCTTTTTTCTTTTGGACTTATTTCTTAATTTCTTAATTTGATATGTTCAGGGACAAACAGGAGAGACATCATCAGAGACATGGAAGACTGCGCAGAACCAACAAGGTGAGGTGGATAAAACAAAGACGTCATCACTTTACAACTATGGTATGAGTTGTTGGAATGTTGTGGATTTTAATGAAGCATCCTCATGTTGCACAAGCCGGCCTCTCAGGACTCTTGACCTCTTTCCAACTACATCCACCCAACTCAAAGAAGACCCCTTAAACCCCAAACTCTGATCACTGCGTTTCATGTTTCTTTGTTTATCGATTAAGACTTGAGGAAACGAATGATCTCTCTCTCTCTCTCTCTCTCTCTGTGGTGCTTCTTTTAGGAATTTATGATGATGACGATGTACTAATAGACCTTGTCTTGTACGTAGGGCCCTAGGCCCTGAGCCATGCTATATTTAAAAATATATGATAAAAGCGTTCACCCGTTTAGATTTTCTTGTGGAAATGGGAACAAGGACATTCTCCTCGGTTAGCGTTTGTCGGCACCTGATTTATAAAAGATTTATTATTATTGTGAAATATTAGTATGTTACTGTACGATGCAGCATAAACCCAAATTTCAAGTCATGCTTTCGCCAATATATACATTGTAATTTGTAACATCCAAAGAATATGAGCATAAACATATAAATAATAGGATCACAATCAAAAGAAAACCAAATCTTAAAGGACTTGTTTATTTAAAAAATAAAAAAGTCCTTAAAATTATAAAGTCTACCATACTTGTGAGGCTCCTAACGCCGGGCTCATTATAGTGCCACCCCCTTTAAGAGTTAATGTTTTCGGCGGCTTCATTACACAACACTTTACTCAGCCTAGTACTAGTCAGACCCTCTATAGATAACCCTTTTCACAAACATTAAGCTCTTAATGAAAAAATCAATGTGATGAACACAAATTTTAAAGAAAAGCTTAATCCCAAAAAACTAACTTTCTCGGAAAGAAAGCTCCTTAAACTTATAAATCCACCGTAGTTGTGAGACTGTTGGGACTCCACGCAGCACACGCCAAACCAACAAATGAAAAATAGCATCGCGAGGTAGCATAGCCATAGCGAGCCGTCGGAGAGATATTAACAATAGCGAACTGAAGGACTCGTTAAGAATGCGATTAACCTAAAGCTACTACTCCGTCTCTAATTATAAGAACCTTTTAGTCAAATTATGCTTTTTAAGAAAACAGTTAAAATTAGTTAAAAACAATTAATATGTAACAAATATAATTTTTTTCCAAATATACTTCTGATAAATATAAGAGAGTAATAATGAGATAAATAGAGAGAATATAATATATGAAATTTATTAAGAGTAAAATAAGTAACAATGCATTAAATGTTCAGATAAATTCAAAAGAAATCTTATAAAAAAGGACAAATCCATTCCAAAAAGAGGATATTATAATTAGGGACGGAGGGAGTATTTCTTAATAGGGTTTATTTTTAAGGAAGTAGCATATAAAAAAATTGGTTTGTGTTAGATTAAATGATTAAAATAATAGAAGAATAAATATTATTTAATAATGATAATAAATATATAATTGACATTAAAAATTATTTTCAATACCTTTTTCCTTCTCTATCTATCTCTCTCTCACCTACACACAAAGCACATGGCTGATGTTACATTCGGTAATGTTCCTGAACTTTTTTTTTTTGTCCTTTTACTTTTTGGAACCAATCTGTATTTGAACTAAAAACTAAAAAAGTAAGTATTTTTCCTCTCATTTTGACATGACCATATGCTAATTATATGCTTATTAAACAACCATTGTGCCAATATCTACTGCACCTAACATGAATAAAAATATTTCCGTGCTCCCTTGTAACTATGAGTCTATATTTTACTATATGTTGGGTATTCGGAAAGGTTTGAATATTTGTTGGGATATATGTGTGCGTGTGTGTGTGTGTAATAAGACTGTTCTTACATTTCATGGATGCGATTTATAGTACCTCTAATTTGCATAATAGAAATCACCCTGCATTCTATGTAGTTGAGAAGACTACAGGCATAATTATGAAAGATTATACTAGATATCCTATAAGCACATCTTAAATTCTATTTAAAAGGTTCAGCCTTTTTAGATAAAACATCACCAACATGCGAGAATGATATATTACTAGCAGTAACAGTCGCGTACCTAAGACATAGTCGAAAGAATCTACAAATAATTGAGTTGCCTGGCTGGCAATAAAGCCTCTTGCGCTTTTAAAAAAAAAAAATTCGCTGTCACAGCATGTTATTGTGCTCAGTTCCATTATTGATCAGATTAGTCCTTGGCTTATTGAATGATAAACTGTGAACCAGCCATTAATAATCATCTATCAGTATGGTCCTTTCCTGCTAGAGCCTTAATTTCATACAACGTATGGTGGGTTTTCATTTGTTTCTTTCTTCCTCTTTTTTTTTTTTTTTTAACCAGCAGTTTTCATTTGTTCATCAGTATCAAGTTGCTTTCACATGTGTACATGAAGATTAAATGCTTGGTGACTCAAAGTAATGGACTTTAAGGACATGGGTGATCAGCTTTTATGGTGATTGACATGGACTACTCTGGGCGAGTTACTGTGACCAAAACCATCTTAAAAGCAATCACTAACCTGTCATGCTCATCATTCATTACTCTGATCAATATTGTTAATGCAGCTTGTGGCCAATAAATAACGTTTCTGCAAAATATATCCCACTCATGGGTCCATCTTTACCCTCCCCCGCCCCCGGCCCTCAAAATGGCTTATTTCACAACCGACACAGAATTGCAGAGCCAGAGATGTACTAAGAGTTAAGAGGAAGGGAAAAGGTGGAATTCTCTATGCTACGTAATTGTGCATTCAAACAAAAAGTGACACAAAAATTGTGCATGAACTATATGTTCTGTCTTTGATTGCTTATATGGACTCAATTTAGAGAAGATAGACTCAAATTCTTACTTCTCCCTCTCTTTCCTTCTCCTATATGCCCTTATGGTTCCAGCATGCAATTTGGAATTGAAGGCTACGGCAGTTACAGTGACAAAACGATCTTGATAGTAACCTCAACCTGTCGTGTTCATCATTTAATTCCACTGATCAATATGGTTAATGAAGCGTGAGACCAATTATATATAGCGTTTCTGCAAAATATATGGCGTTCTCTTGTCAATCTTTATTTTTCCCCTCAAACAATTTAGATGGCTTATTTCACTACCGACACAGATTTGTAGAGATCTAGTTAGAGTGAACAAGACAAAAAAGAAGAGAGAGAGAGAGTGATTCACTTAAACAGTCCAACTTTGGTTCTATTATTCTATGTACCCACGAGTACTCCCCCCCCCCCCCCCAGTGAAGCAGAGCGACAAATTAAAACTGAACAATTCATGATTGACACTATGTATTGCGCCTCTAGAAGTTCTCCTTGTGAAAGGTAAAACGCGTGGATGAGACTAAACTGAACTCTTGGCAAAGGTTCTTCAATGTTTTGGTGAGAGTAGGACTGCCACAGTAGAACACACCTACATCAACCAACAGTCAAAAATGAGAAAACATATATTCTCAAATCTGAATGTCCTTTAGGATTCCCCGAACAATGAATCAGAATCTATGCATACCTATTCTAGAGTTCTCATGTGCGCTTGCTAGATCAGAGAATACTTTTTTCCAATTGGGTCTCGCAAAATGAGTTCTTATCTGGGCATATTGGAACATGAGGAAAATGTTAATAGTGCTGTATGGTTTACTGTGTAGATAAAGCTTCACCCTTAATTAGTACTAAATCATTACCCTGCTTTCTGAAACTACATCAAGACCATTTTTAGCATGCTGCAGCTTCTGCACCATGGCAATAAGTGCTGACCGAGCATCGCCTTCTTCATGAACACTAGTCAAGTAGTTGTGCATTTCAATTATATGCTGTAACATTCAAAGATGCCCGAAAAATTATTATAGTGAAATATCATGTCATGGAGGTAACTCGACTAAAAATATATGACGTTGGTTAGCTTTCAATCTCACATTGTGGTCATATTCTGCGATATCGTCCATGACTCCTTTGAACCATTCAAACGAAGCTTGTTCTCTTGTCACCCAGTAAAAGTATGCTCTTTCGGGATATTTTTGATCTTCTGGTGAACTGTTGTGACAGTCCTGCGGATGGAGAATGCATACTTTCAGTAAAAGGAAGGATAAAATTTATGTCATGCTAAATTGTAAAGGAAAAATAAATCCATACGGAAGGCCTTTATTTGATAACCTGATAGCAAAACGTAAAAACTAGACTACTCACAGGCTCAGGTTTTTCCGGTTTGATGTGGTTGAGGAGATCTTTGAGAATACTGATCATTGGCGTGGCACCAATTCCCAGACCAATAAGCAAGAGCACATCATACTTTTTGTAGTTTTGTGCCGGGGCTCCATAGGGTCCTTTAATGCGGATCTTCGGATACCTAGGGAATTAAAAGGAACAAAATCAATATCAGTGTATCATTTAACAGCTTAAGAACTAAGCTATAAGAGGTTCTATCTACCTTGCTGCTGATTGATCATAGCTAAGGTTCGTTCTAGTTTCCATCCTCATAAGGCTTCCCTTTCTTGCATTCTGGACCTCACAAACCTGCATTTTATGTGGTCTTAGCCCAACTAGTTCTTTGAAAAAATTGTTATTTAAAAAATAATAGAACATCTAGCTGTTAGTTCACGCTTAAGTTAAAAAAATTAGAGAAAATTTTCACCCGAAAAGAACAAATTGAGATTTCAGTCTTCCGAGGATACTTTTGTCAGAGCTTCAATCCTCCAAAGTTTGGAGACTAAATGTCAGTTCTCTAAAGAGTAGTTTATCTTTAATATCGTTTTCACATTAAGCTTGTTAACAAATAGTTGCGAAAGATGATTGATTTTGCCTAACGTGCGACTGATGTAGCAATAAGATATATAGCAGTTACTGGAGCATGCCATTACAATGCATCATATCATTTTGATACCTCTTCTGGGCATGTATCAAAATTATTTTTCTGACTGCTTGTAAACAGGTAATTGTATTATAGCAAGCATCACCTGCGCAAATCTGTTTCTAAGCTCTGTCGTCCAATCTCCCAAGGCTCGTATATGGACACTCAAGTAGTCATCTCCAGGTGCAGAGGTGATGGAGAAAGGATGCCTGAAAAATAGGGAAAATCGGAACATCTTAATTAAAATGATCTCACGGCAAAATCAGTTTTCAGATTAATACCAGCAAAATACTATCCTCAGTTACCATTCAAAACTCGATATGTCTGGACACTTTACAAAAAGGTACATGCCACTTTTGTACTTGAATGCTGGAGGTTTGGTTATGTGCAGTGCTAGCACATTTCCTGAATAGACTATTGCCTGACATATTCAAGTAGTAAGATCACTTCCCCATGGTTTTATTGGGAAAAAAAATTAGGGATAAGAAGTTGTTAGAACACACCTTTATTACCCTTACGCGGTGATCTTTACCCTTCAAAAATGGATGTATTCTCTCTAAAGCATAGAGTACTACTGGAACTACGAGGTACATCCAAGTCTGCATAGAGAAAGGTAGTGAAACTGATTAGTATATAAATGTTCTCAGATTGCTGCTTATTCAGAATGCCGTAATACAGACATGTTTCAGCAACAGATACAAACTGAAATCAATCTACAAGTGAACTCTGGTATTTGCATTTAGAACGAACTTTTGAAAAATTGAACTGAGTCTGGATAATACAGATTCATTTTGTGGAAATGAGTATCCAGTGACAAGAAACATTAACAAAATTATGAACATGAAGATGCACCAGGAAGTCAATATTTCATTCTCATCTCCAAAATAAAATTTACTAAGTACAGTCATTCAAATGTTTGCTAGTTGATGCCTCGTTAACAACGTAACACATGGATTCTTCTTACAACTTGGCAATATACAAAATCTTTCAAAAGGTTTCTCCACGTGTCATATCATTATTTAAAATCTGATAACTAACGCCTAAGGAATTGTACGTTGGTGTTCTAATAAAATCTAGCAATATTTCAGATTAAGAAACACCCAAAAGCAATGGCCAATATATACACAAGCACACACATGGGCTGAGATGTACGTTGCTTAAACTTAAAATGGTAGAATCGTTAGAGCAGAACTTACTGTCTTCTTGTGCCAATCCTTGGTGAGAAATAGAAAGGAGCCATGTATGACCAATAGCACGTATACCAGAATCAGCAAATGATGTGCATACCAGAATGCATTAAATCCAGCCAAATGATGAAATGGAGAGGGCAATTTTACAACACTTCTTCTGAAATTATGTGTTGCCAGTGTGAAGGTGAAGGCCATAATTATGACCATCAAAATTCCAGTTACTCCAGGAATACTTTCAACCAGGTCGAGGTAAGTAGGCTGCTTGAAGCTAAATCCCGGCCCAAGTATACTCATGAACTTTGAATGTGGGCACGATATAAGTTTTGGAAAATCACAAGTTATATGCATTATTACGTGAATAAGGGTCCCTACAACTACACCTAGTGCAATCATCTTGTGAAAGTTTATGTTGTCATCAAAAGGGATGACTCTACTAAGAAATGATTCTCTGAGCTTTGTGAGAGTCTTTCTGCACATGGTGAGGACAATAAGAGCCATGTTGAACTTGAGAGTCTCAGCACCACCCTTCGCAAAGCAGACACAATAACCCATAACTTCATATGCTCCTCTATTTTTGTATTGAAGGAACTTCCAGATGAAAAGCCCCACGTTTATAGCCAACCAAAGTGCGATGACCCATATTTTCTTCCAGTGCTCAAGTACAAACTCCCTGGTTTTATGAAAAAACTTGCTTACAGGAGTTCGGTACTGACTTGGTATCATAGCTCTTGTCAAAGTCTGGGTTCTCTTGCCCATGGCTTTGGGATTATCTTCAGAACTCACCATTTCCCTTAGCAGAGTTTCAAGCTGCCACATCTGTATCAACATAGAGTCAATAAGAAGGATCCCAGGTGAAGATGCCATTTGTTTTGACAGGAAACATGGAAGTCAAGTCTTTCTAACCTCTATATATCCATTATGATCTGGGTCAAGCTTTTCCATGATCAAAGATGCATATACTGAAGCTTGGTTTTTGAGATTCCCTAGCCTATTTGCTGAGGCGCTCAACATTATAACCTTTTACAAAATAGCAGCAAAATTTATGATTTATTTAATAATAGGTGGAAATCAGAATTTATGTGGTGTTTGTCCTCACCTGCTTCACCTCTTCTTCTGATAGCCTTCCATCCCCATTCTTGTCACACCTGAACAATAACAGCCAAGTTCATCACAAATATTTTACTACCAGGATTATGGTCTGACATAAAAATGTCTTACCACACAAATCAAACGCCTCATTAAGTGGTCATCAAATTATGCAATAAAAGCATAACAGGGAGAAGCTTCTACAGCTCAACATTACAGCATTTTCTCCTTCCACACATTTTAGGTACATAGATGTAACAATTGTTTCTGCAATAGGCCAATAGAATTTACTAAGCCAGCTGTTACAGGTGGCGGGATTTACAAAGACACCCATTGTGTAGTACATATTACATGAATACACAAGAAGTTGGATCCCACTTAAATTCTGCAGCATGTTTCTCTCTCAGTGTTTGTGTGTGTGGCAATACGCACTTTACATTTGTTTTCTTTGAAATTGGCACTATCAACTTGCAAGAAAAGTAGAGACTTCATTTTGGGGTGCATAAATAGATAGTGAAAGAGTGATCTTACATGTCAAAGAACACCTGAAGTCTGGATTCAAGGTCCTTATTGGTCATGTCCTCCCAGAACACCTTGAGTTCATCCACAGTGATCCCATTTTCAGTATGTATATTCCTTCGTCTTGCCAAGGCATCAAACAGTTCTCCTGCAAAATCCTTTGATTCTGCTCCCATCCCTGTGAAACAGAAATCTCATAGTCTAAACTTTTTTCTTTAATGAGAATTCACAGATCCCACTAAATATCAGAAGCATATAAACACATACCAATGCAAGCTCCAAATTTGTCTCTTGAGAGCTTCCCATCAACTGCATTTTGAGAAAATCGCCTCTCAATTGCATTCCATGCATCTTGTTCCTTCCCTGTGACTGTTCTATCAAGAAACCGTAAACCCTTAAGCCCTCTTGATGCTCCAGATTGTAACCTCCCCATCTTTGCACAATTTCCTTGACCCACATGTCTATTCCTTAGGCCTCCATTGTCATTGTCATCGATATTGCCAATCGTCTTTGCCTCTGGCGCAGCCTCATTGTCACGTTCTGACGCCATTGCTCTCT